CCCTGCAGGGGACGCCTGCGCCCCAAGGCGGTCAAAAGGTTTATACCTTCACGGTGGCACGTCGGGGTAGAAACTTTCCAGTCGCCGTGGGCCAGGTGTTTCCGACGAAGGTCGGCTTGATACACATTTGGGCGAGGGCAAAGATACCACGACCAGACATGGCACTACCCATATACCCGGGCAGGGCAAACATACCTACACCCCGATTGTTTCACCACCTCCAATTCCACAAATTTCTACACGTGGCACTTCTTCACAATCTGGGACAAAGAGTTTTATAACATACGGAACCCGGAACGTAAGAAGGCTTACACATATCAAAACAGTTTAACTAACAAAACACATGGCCCCTTGTGTAATCAACGTGTTCTGCATCCAGGAGACCAGGAAACCAAACACATAAGTGTATTGTGAACACGCAGACTGCGATGGCAGCACTTGGGCTGGGGTTGGATTTATTCTTGCACCACGGCTACGAAGATATGTCAAATGATACAATATTGTTTCCGACAGGATTTGAGTCTTGAAGTTGCGCGCGCAAGCCCAAACACTAAGCCTGCAGGGTGTTTATGCGCCTCACAACCAACGACCGCCGGACGAACGCATCGACTTCTTCAACACGCTGGATAGAGAGTGCCAGGCCTGCTACACGAACTGCGGCAAACTAGTGCCAGGCGACTTGAATGCAAGAGTGGGCCGAGCACGTCCCGGTGAAGATTCGGTTATTTGTCTGCATCGCTGGGGAAGGGAAGCCGTGCGAGAAGAAGAAAGACCAAACCGAGATTTACTCTTCGAATTTTGCTTTGGGAATGGTTGGGTTATTGCCAACACGTTTACCGGACAAAACCTTGAACACAAAGTGATTTTCAGGGAGGCCGGGATTACCGCGCAGGCTCCGATCGACATCGTCACGCACGACATTTTAGATTTTTTCTTGTGCACGCCAGGTGCTCTGGAGTTGGCGTGCTGCAGGGCTCGCTGCCGACCATTTCCTCGCTACCTGCTCTACGGAGTTGTTGATGCCTTCAGACACGCAACAAAGTCGCACAAAGACAGACAGGGCTGCATTGGATGACGAGAAAATCCGCGAGCATTTTACGGACGCATTTCTTCAGAACGTCGAGCCAGCCATAATCAAAAGATGTGCACGACATGTGAGATGCAGCAAAACACGCCATGTAATACACAGAAACACGTTCCCGCACTGGGCAACTACGACACGGCAGCCTTGGATATCAAAGAGAACGTTGGACTCGATAGAGCAACGGAGCCAGGCAAGATTACGGAACCATGTGGAGTCAGCAAAAAAGGTTGTTGAAGGAAGTTCGGAAATCGGCACAGATCGACAAAACGAAAAGGGTGGACAAGCGTATCCAAGGAGGGAATTGGGCATCTTTTAGAAAAGTATGCCGGTCGAAGCCCCGCAAAGAAGGCATAGTCCGTAATCTACGAGGCGAGTTTGTTGATAACGAAGAAAAGGCGTAGGTGGCCACATGCGAACCTTACCCCTACCCCCCACGATTTCTGAGGGGGAGGGTGGGGTTCACTTCGCTCGGGAGCTCCCGAACGAACTGAAACCCACCCTCCCCTTCAGAAATCGTGGGGGTAGGGGTAGGGTTCGCATGTGGCCCCCTAAGGCGAACGCTATGGCCGAGTATTTGGAAGAAGTGCATGGGAAGTCCGGCTTGCGGATGTGGTGGGTCGAGCACCTCTCGGAAACGCCCTGCGCATCACACGCGCCGATTCTCAGACGAAGATGTTGGATTGGCGATTTCAAGATTACAGCGGGGAAACTCTCCGGACCAGATGATATACCAGCAGAGTCCTGGAAGGTTTTGACCAACTATAGCAAATATTTGAAATGGACCACTTCGCTGATCAACGCGTGTTGGAAGGAAAGAATCGTGCTGGTCACTGGAAACACGCGGATGTCGCGGCCATCTACAAAAGCAAAGGCCGAACCGACCAGTGCGACAGTTACCGCCCATCAGCCTGCAGTGTGTTGTTTACAAGTTATTGGCAACGCTATTGCTGGGGAGACTACAGGACGCTGGCACAGTTCGTTTTTTTTGGGGCGGAGGGGCACTGACGAGGAAATTCATGTTGTGCGCAAGCATATCTAGTTATCGCACGCAAAATGGGGAGTAGCAGTAGCTATGCCTGCGCTGGACTGGAAGAGAGCATTCGACTCGATCAGCGTGACCGCTCTTTTGGACGCATTGCGGGTTTCCGGTGTACCACCACATATGTTTTCTCTCCTCGGTAATGTTTTGCGATGGCAGACGCTTTTGCGTGGCAGACGGGCGACGTACATCAAACACGAGAAACCCACAGTCGGGAAATCCGCAAGGTTGCCCTCTATCGTCGTTGCTTTTTGTCACGGTGGTGAGCGTGGTTATCAAGAACGCAGAAGACAAATTGGATGAGGCATCGTTCGCGACACTTGCTCCTGAGGATCTGTCTGTTCTGGTGTACGCCGATGACACCCTCTTGGTTGAACGGCGCGCTGGTCGTCTACAGTCTTCGTTGGACGCAGTTGCAGAACAAGGAGCAATTTGGGATGGGGCTTCGTTGGGATAGGTTTCAACTCGTACAGACAGGCTGCGACATTCAGATTTTGTCCCTAAATGGAAATTCTATTCCGACGGCTGAACAAATTAAGTACTTGGGTGCGACGATCTACAGTTCCGGCAACATGAAGCAAGCGTAGTTGGTTAAACGACTTGGGGGAGTGGGGGGGGGGGGGGAAGTTTCAAAATAAACGCAAAGGCTTGGAAGAGCGCGTCCATCAGTGCAGGAAAAAGCAAAACGTACTTCGGACGCTGGTTATTACTACATGTATGTATTCTTTGACAACTGCATGGCTAATTATGCGCGACAGAAGACGCGTGGATGGGTTCCAGGCGAGGTGCCTACGCCATGTTCTGAACATCCCTCATGCTCTTATATCGATGGTCCAACACAAATGTGCTACAACAGGCGGGGGCGGCATCTTACAGTGGTCAACTACTCCAGCGTCAGCTTATGCCATTTGGTAGACTTGGCCGCAGCAGCGACGCTGACGTGCTCCGAAAATTAATTTTCCAATCGGGCAACGTGAGGCCGATCGCTGATGCTCTTGCCCGGAAGCGTGGGCGCCCCCAGGCACGAGTGGGCGAAGTGTTTGTGTTGTAAATTCAGGGGCTGTTTCGAATCTGATTCTGTTTTCTCCCAATGCGTCGCAAACAATCGTCATTGGTGTCGTTTTGTCACAGAGTTTGTTGAAGAAAACGAGCGTTGCGGCATTCCCTTTGCATTCAGTTGCTCCCCCTCTCCTCTGTTTTTTCTCCCCTTTGCCTTTGCTACTTCACAGACGTGATGGACTGTCTCATTTTGTCAGCTTCGCAGTCGTGGGGCGTTCCGCTTCTGCGTCGCAGGCGTGATGCGGCTTGCTTTCAAGCGTCCGACGCGGTGCCAAGTTTTTGCATTCTTCTGCCCGCGCGTGCTGCCGGAGGCAAGGCCCACCAAGAGACAGGCAGTGCAATGTGTTATGTCGCCCACGCGACAATGGGCGTATGGCTTCTTGACTTCGCCGGCTAAGGATGAGTTCGGCGCTACATCAGCCCGTGTGCAAATCGTTCTTGCCTGAGCAGGTCGCGAGAGTGCCTCCCCCAAAAATCCGCCCTTCCGACCTCTCCTGGGTGCGTTCAGGTCCGGCGTCCGCGGCGAGGTTCGCCGCGGCGGCAGGCGCGTCCCAAGAGGCCCACAGATGGCTCCACATGTGCCCTAAGTCTCCCTTCTCGAACGGTCGATCCCTCGATTCTGTTTGATTCGCGCCTTCTTAGCCTGGCGTCATGCGCGGGAATTGTCTCCGTTCCCACGGCCTCGCGGGTGCTCCGCGGCGGACGTGCCCGATGGGATCGCATATACATCGGTTCGCGCTTCTGTTCCAGATTGCGAGTGCGTGGACATGGACATTCGGCGGCACCCCAACATACTTATACTATATGTCCGTCGCCCCCCCCAGGGGCGACGCCCGCACCGAGAGATCGTAGAGTATCTGCGTTGTGGCGGGCGCTTTCTGGCCACACCGCCCGGGAAACGATATACTACAATATGGGTATACTATATGTTCGGGTCGGACGCGCGCCTCCAAGGTTGACATCTAGTATTCGTGTGTCCCTGTGCGTCCCAGACATGGATAAAGTTCGTCGCTAGTTAGTTCAAAAACTCGGTTCCCGATGCCCCGATCTCTCGACGTTGTACCACGGCGCGCCCTCCCTGCCTGGCGGTTTTGAGGCGTCCTCAGCCCGCAGGTGCAACGACGTGCACATTTCAGGAGCAAAGAACTGTGCACATGCACAAATCCTGGGCTCAGGATGGGCTTGGACAGGATCGGTGCACGTGCATGATTACACGGACATCTGGCGATTTTTTTAGGTTCTACAGTGCGCGGCCCCAGATGTCCCGACCCGTTCCCCAGTGGTAGTCTTTCGTCCCAGATTCATGCTTGGTGGTCCTGGGGCCCGATAGTCGCCACCCATCCAACCACCCCGCCCAACCCGAAGGCCCAAATTTGCCCCCCATTCCCAGTGGGAGGCGCCTTGGGGAACATTGAGCAGCACATGGGGCCCGTGCCCCCCCAACCCGAACTTCGGGTCTCCGGGTTGGGTCGGTGTGGTTTGATCGATAGTCAGATAACAGGTTCAAGAGGCCGAAATCGAGGGAGCAGCGCTCAGACTTTCTTCTCTTCTGTCGCTGGCGAGCGAGGGGGGAAAGTGAGACAGAGAAGACCTTCACAGAAGGCGGCGGGACTTTTCAGAAACTCTTGGATCTTCTGAGAAGTTTCTTGTGTCTCTGTGGAAGCTCAGAAAACTTCCCAGGCCTGGGGACTTCCGAGCCTTGTGAGAAGCCTTCTCAGGTCCCCCCTCGCTCGCCGCCGATTCTGACCTCGCCCTCGCCCGAGCACATCGCGGCGGCGCTTTTCCGGCCGCGCCCGTCCCGCCTGGGCGCCCCTTGAGGCGTCCCCAAGATCGAGGTGAGCTTCGAGATCGGCCTGGACGGCATCCTGGAGGTGCCGCGCCCAAGTCGAGAGAGGGAGAAAGAAGAGCATCCGTGACACGCCGCCGTGGGCCAAGAAAACAGAAACGTCATAAACATACAGTGGAGACCCATGCCAAGAGACACCCTGCTTGCCTGCAGTGTGCCCTGGGCTTCTTGGGTTTCGATGGCTTTGCTATGGAAGGCGGGACGCTCCCACACCAAAAATCCATGGACGCCCTGGGGTCTAAGCGTTGGGTTTCTTGTGGAAGGCTTCTTGTGGTCGAGCCCTTGCTGTAAACATACGCTTTTGACGTTCCGCACGGATCTCTTGGATCCGCGGTGGGTTCGCCTGGCGGCGCCTCCGGCGCTGTTGGCGCGCTCCGCCGCGCGCTGTGGAGAGGAGCCCAGCGCGGATCCGAGCAGTCCGCGCGGACCGTTGAGAGTTTGTGTTTCTACCGTTCTTTCTTTTGGTGGGGAGCCCCCAGATCTCCCACGGTATGGTTTTCCAAGCTGGGCGTCTCGCCTCGAGTTCAGCTTCTGGGGCTCCTTTACCGGGCCCTCGGGATCACCAGAACTGGACCTGGACGAACACTGGACCCGGGGAGGGAGTCAGGACCTCAGGGGCCGCGGATGGAAAAACATCAGGTCGACGGACGACTGGGCAAAGTAATGCACGTACTTTTTTTTTTAGTCGGCGGCGGGGCAGAGGCAGTCCGCTCCAGCGTGCGGCAATTCGGTGCAACCGAATGGCCAATTGGCCGGCATGCAAGAGAGGGACAAGGACGAGGACGGCCGCGCGGGGGGAGGTAGAGGAAAAAGCGCTTAGATGTGGCACCTCATGTGCACACATTTTCGGAGCTTCGCGAGGATCTTTTGGATTTGGGCTGGGCCTCCCTTTCGGCGCCTCCGGCGCTGCCCCTGCCGCGCTCCGCGCGCCAGGGAGGGGGGTCCAGCGCCGATCCCAAGAAATCCGCGCGGACCTCCTCAAGTGTATGCTTATTCAGTTTTTTGTTCCCACCGCGGCACCGCGGCGTGTCGTTGATCTTGTTTTTTGCTCCCCTTCCCACCCCACCCACCGAGGCCATCCACTAGCAGTCCCAGGGCCTCCAGGTGGGGCCATCTCTGGGAAAGGCAGTTCAAAAATGGATGCCCACCGTAATATTTCTTGGAGCCCTTTTGGGGTGCTCGAGGGCGCCTGTCAATGTCTGTAATTTTCCCTCTTGAGTGCCCTCGTGGGCCAACTCGGGGCTATCTTGAGGCCTCCGGTGCCCGATAAGGCCAAACTCATTGAAGAACTGTTTGAGTCTCTTGGGGTGCATTCCTGAGAGGCTCGGGGTTACTTCAAAGCAATCTTGAGCATCTCGGAGTCATGCTGCAGGCCATCTTGAGCTAACCTGTCAACGGTTCTCCAGCTCGGAGGCCATCTTGGGCTATCTAGGGCTTTCTGGAGAGTCATATTTGGCCAACTTGTGCGCTCCAAGCCCCCGCGCCACCCCCTCGTCGAGACCTCTTGGGAGGAACAGTACTAGCAACGGGAGGGGCACCCCTGGCCCCCAAGAGGAATAACTAGTTGTTTTGGAAGGGCTGTCACCCTGAACCACATACGCTCAGACGGCTTGTGGGATCTTGAGAGTCTATCAGAAACACCTTCGGTGCGTCACCGCCGTCCCCTGCCTTTCGAAAGCGCCTCTGTCGTGGAACGTCGAGCGCAAGGGCGGCCGCGCTTACGGACTGCGTGCTCCCCCAGCTGCGTGTTGCCCCAGCTGCGCGGACGTCTTCCACGTCTGAGTGCTCCTCTTCCCCTCGTCCTCCCCGCGGCGACCCTAGTCCATTCGCCCTGTCTTGAATGTCGGCAAGTTCGCCATTCGGTTGCCCCGAATCGCCAGTCGCTGGAGCGGACCGCCTCTGCCTCGCCGCCGACGGAAAAAAGTTCCCCCAGCTGCTGGGGAAGCTGCTCGTGAAAAACACCGGGGAGAGGCCCTCCGGGGCTCTTTTGGCGCTCTTCTCGGGCCTCTTGGGCCTTCTTGGGGGCCTCCTGGGGCCCTCTTGGCCCATGTTGGAATTCTTTGGTGCCTTCTGGGGGCCCTCTTGGGCCGCTGGGGCTGCGGGCTGTCCGTGGGACGTGATGGGCCGTCTTGTGGCCCTCTTGCGCCGTCTTGAGGGTCTTCCGGTCGTGTCGGGGTGATCTTTGGGAAGCCGAAAATCATTGAATCACATTCGGCAGATCAAGCGCTGGGACGACGAAATCACCACTTACTTACGTCAACGCAGACCAGACCTTCACCGAACGCCCACGCAAGCCCATTCGAAAGGACAACCGAACGACATCACATGGACGCAAACAGCCCAAGACACCGAAGCATGGACAGCGCTCGAGCACTTCACCGACCTCACGTCGACCAGCACCGGGGACTCAGACCAATGACGTAATCTCGCCCAACCCGCGCCGACACCGACACCAAGGACTTTCTTTTCCTCCTCCTCCCCCTCTCCTCCTAACTTTTTACATGTCTCGCATTGCATGAATCCAGACACCTCAGATCCTAAAGGCCATGGCCTCACCCACCTGGTCTGCCCTAGGCCCGGACGCTGTCCGCAACGGTGGTCGCATCGCATCGCATCGCATGGGGGACCAGTTGGAACCTTCTTGGGGCATGCTGTGGGCCTCTTGCGCCGTCTTGTGGCCCTTTTCGGCCGTTGTGGGGTGATCTTTGGGGCCTCTCTTGGATGGTCTGAACACCGACTAGGAGGGAATTCGAAAGTCATTGAATCACACTCGGAAAGTCAATAATTGTTGCCCCTCGAGGCCTTCCTGGGGGAACATTTGGAACCTGATGAGGGCATGTTGTGGGCCTCTTGGGCCGTCTTGAGGTCATCCTGGATTGTTTTTGGGACAGTTCTGGATCCCCTTCACGGCATCTTTGGCCTACTTGGAGACCATTGGGGCCATTTTGAACCGAGTTGATGGTGACCAAGCCCTCTTGGAGGCCCAATTGAAGTTGTTTTGGGTTGGAGTGCCCGCAGGATGTGCCTTTTCCAGTCCTTCACGGGTGGCCAGCGGGCTGGGCTGGAAGCCACCAGGAATTTTTGGATTGGCCGCGGGCACCCCTCTGTCAAGCTACTGGGGCGGCGGATGCAGTGCCCTTCGGCCCATCCCGCCTCCGTCCCTGGATCGTAGACAAGAAGCCTTTCGAGGGCTCTTTGGGGGGGCCTTAAGCGGGTCTCCGGGAAACCTCTCGGAGACCTCTTGAGGGCCGCTCGGAGGTCTCTTGAGGCCTCTTTGGGGCATCTGGGGTGCCTTTCGAGAGCCTCCTGGGGGCCTCTGGGGGACCTGCTGGCGGTCTCTGGGGCCATCCAGGGAGAACGCGCTCGACATGTCGTGGGCCCGTCTTGGGAGTCTGTCAGGCCCTCTTGGGGACCCCGGGGATCTTGGGGGCAGTTTTGGGGCGATCTTAGGGGCCTCGTGGGCCGTCTTAGAATGTCCGCAGACCGAAAGAGCGAGTATGCAAAAGTCACACAACGACGTCTCCTTTGGTCAGCCTTGGGGCCTCCAAGACGGCCGAAGAGTCTCCCAAGATTGCTCCAGGACAGGCCTTGGGACCATCTTAGGCCTTGTTGGGAGTGTGGATTCCAGACCACACTCCCGAGCCTCTGGCAAAGCCACGCGGGGGGAACAACGCCCTAGAGCTTCCGGAACACAGGTCTCCGGACCCTGTAAAGACATTCACAGGAGTCATTGCAGAGAGCTCGAAATAGCTTTATGACGCTCCATTCAGTGCCAACGTCACGGTGGCGGATTCAGGGGTGCCAATTCACATCGAAAAGCGAGCGGATTTCTGGCCCTCGACCAGAGCCGTCATCTTCTGTGCCGAGTGCACAGCTTCTCTGCGTGGTCACATGACGTATGATCGGCACCGCCCAACCTATGTGTGCATCGGCCTATGCCCTTCTGCGTCCCATTTGGCAGCCGAAGGAGAGAGCACGTGTGTCACTCCGAGTGCTTAATCCATAGAGCCCGTTTCTTTATTGCTTGGGGCATGACGGGCGTCATGGCCCCCGCTCCCCCCCCCATGACGTAACGCTTCCCCCCCAGTGCGCTCCAGGCACTGCCGCCGTGCGCATTGGGATCCACGCAGGTGTCCGCGTAGGAATCCGCGTAGGAGTCTGTTCCGCAGTCGTCGTCGTCGTCGTCGTCGTCGTCGTCGTCGTCGTCGTCGCTCGTGGCTTGTCGCTCGTCGCTCATAATCGTCGTGCGCGCGGACGGGGCTGAAGCCTGTTTTTTCTTCTGGGTTGATGACGGCGATCATCTGGGGGGGGTGGAGGGGGTCGATGACATCACGTTTCGCGCCGGCGGCGTCTGGGAATGCTTAGGAATGACGGAGGACGGGTAGCGCCAGCATGTAGGTGGCGATTTGCACCTCCATGCCTGTGTACACCACAGTGCCTGCGTGCACCACAGCGCCTGTGTACAGCACACCGCCTATGTACACCACAGCAGCCGCGTGCAACACAGCGTCAGTTTGTGCCACCGTGCCTGCGGGCACAACAGCTCTTGTGCACACCACAACGCTTGCGTACACCACATCAGCCGTGTGCAACACAGCACCAGTGTACACCGCAATGCCTGCGTGCATTGCAGTGCCTGTGTACACCACGGCGCCTGTGTGCACCACAGCAACCGTGTGCAACACAACACCACTATTGTATATAGAATGTTAGCACGAACTCGTATGACAAAATGGCACGCTCGTGGATTCCACAGGAAACAATTTAACATATTCTTTCAGGACAACGGAGCGCCGCTGGAATATTTGAGTCCTCCCGAGTCCGCCCGCATCACCCTAACTCCTCCCATCTGCGTCCAGGAGGCTCCAGCTAAATTGTTCGTCCGAAAACCAAGCGGACCGATTTAATAAAACATTTTTGCGGTGCGCGCTGGGATGCGCACGTGCTTGGTGGGGCGAACCCGCACGACAGGGGGTAAGGAGGAGGAGGAGGAGGAGGAGGAGGAGGAGGAGGAGGAGGAGGAGGACGGGGCAAGGGAGTTGGAGAGCTGGAGCGGAGGGTAAGGAGAAGGAGGGTGAGGAGGGGGAGTTGGAGGAGTTGGAGGGTGAAGGGGAGGGGAAGGGGGAGGGGGAGGGCGAGGAGGACGAGGAGGAGGATGATGAGGAGGACGAGGAGGGGAGGAGGAGGAACAGGAGCAGGAGCGGGGGGAGGAGGACGAGGAGGAGGAGGAGGATGAGGAGGGGGGGGATGAGG